GGGTTTCTGGGGTGCAAGGTTGACAAAAACATAAGAACTAGGACTCATTCTTAAGTTAATCTCGAAATTAAAACAAGTTGAGAATACTACTGAGATGGTTATCTCTTGTTATCTAAACTAATTAAATATTTCCCTACGACATATGCATCACTGGTGTGATTTGCGGGAGTGCGGCGTAATTTGCTGGTGAGATCGACGAACGAAACTTCTTATCGCACTTGCTCGAACTAAAAGTCATGTCAACTATAAAAGAGCAAGAGTTTTTATATGTAAAAAAATCGCATCTTACCAAGCCCAGATTCGTATTAGAACGTGTTGATAGGAAGAATTCGAACTGGTGACATGACTTTCCATTTCTAAGTGAAGGTTGTTTGCAAGGAATTCGTGAAATGGTCTCGCCAACAAACGAAAGGAGGAGTTCCGTTGAGTGAAGTCTGTTGGAAAGGTGTTGCAAAACGGAGAGCCGAAGACTTCCTCGTACAATCCAACAATCTCCATCCCTTCAGTAATCCTTCTTCGGTTTCCAGTCGAACCACTTCACGAATTCCTTCCAAACGACTTTTCTTTCAAAATCGAGAGTCATGTAACAATTGATCACAAATAAATTCTTCAAAACCCGGTTTTTCTTCATATCTTAGAACACTAATTGAAAAAATGTCTGCTTGTAATTCCCATTGATACAAACTTCCTCACAAAAGAAAGTTGTAAGAAGCTTATTATGCCTGACACATCAGTGAAGCTAGTAGCGCATAGACGAGAAAACAACCCATTCACATCTGACCGACCTAGTCTAGGTTTAGAATCCTGCCGAGGATGCTGATAAGTTAATAAGGCGCAAAATGTACCAAAGTGCTACCAATTAACAGAATATTCTGCCAAGTTAATGAGTTCATTGCCTTTTCCCATCTGTCCAGCCTGTGGGCTCTTTGCCAGGATGGACTACGGCTGTCCTTCAGCTTTCCCAATGGGATTCGAGCCCAAAACCTAGAGTTCGACATCAGCGAATTCTTCTTCTAAACCCAACGCCCCTGGCGCCAAACCAGGCAGGGCGGCCACTCAATAATCTGACTACTTAGTGAGCTTATAATGATATTAAAAGTATAAATTTGTCGCCCAAATATATTTTAATTTGTTGTGGTGGCTTGCATTTCGTATGAAGGTGCATGAAATTCTCTGATTAATCTTACCCGAAGACGACGGTTGGTTTTTCAGTTGCTATGCAGCAGTGTGGCCTTGATACAACTATCAGATTTACGAGGTCCCTGGCACATCCACCCTCGTTTAGGGCGGAAACCAACTAACACCATCTTAAAATTCTTATTTACGATCTGAAAGCAAGCTAAATTTACGTCCATTACATGACAGACATCATCATCTCCTAGACTTAAAGTCACCTTGAAACTTTGCCAAAACGAGCTCCGCCCCCGACGATACTCTTCATATGACGGACGAGTGCTTAGTGAAACGAGTGAAGATTTCTAAGGGATTGCATCAACCTGATATTAATATTAAGGTCGAACGGCTGAAAAAAATGGGAATCAACTGCCATCATACGTCATTCACTTCGTACGAAATGAAAAGCCTCCACGACAATGCTTTCTTAAGAGCTTCATTAAAATTCAAGTTTTCCTCGAATCTACTAATTTGGGTTGCCTGAATAGCAATTTTGGAGATTCACCTATTTGTGGATCTCGTTTAGCATGACTGAGCAATTGCTCGCCTAGCAACCTGTAGAACACAAGAGTTAATCAAATTATTGGGCTGGACCCGTCTTAAGGTCCATTAAAGCGCCATTTCCCACTCGTAACTGAATGGCGCCAAGGCCTCGGTCTCAAGTCTAGAATAAGTTTCGTCAAGAGAGCTAGTGAGAGGTAAATACTAACGCGGTCCAGTTGTTCTGATCAACACTTTGAAATGGGTTTTCAAGGGAACCATCTTCCTTCGGATTCGTGGGTAGTCTTTCCCCACAAAACTGGGCAATTCACATGAAATTGGTAAGAAATCGGCTTCCCGAC